ATGATAATAATAATAATGATAATAATAATAATAATGATAATAACAATGATGATAACAATAATGATGACCGGAAAAGGCTTATAAAATAGCGCAAGGAAATGTCATACTTGCAAAGCGTAAAAGTTTAATTAAACTTAACAGAAATAAACAAAATCGAAAACTATTCGACAATCTGTTATGAGCAGCTGCTATAATCTATAATGCGTCGGAAGGCAGGCTTGCGCAAGTAATGGAAGATAAGAAGCACTTCTGAAGGCGTTCTTTGATTAGTAAATTGAATCACGGAAGGTAATCTTGAATAAGAGCAAGAGCTTCCTAGCTGATGGATTGATGTGAAGGATATTGGAGCTCCAAACTCGCCGATATTCCAATATTCACCGCAGATTTAGAAAGAAACAAGAAAAGAAGACAAATCCATCAGACTCGTGTGATGACTTCAAGTACATCTTAGAAAGTATGTTCTAACGATCACATTTTGCAGAAAATGTTTCGTAAGGGCGCGCGTCGCACCTATCAGACAAGTCAGTCTTTTTGTAATAAGCGTAGTTTATGCTTACTCTATAATGATGATTCAAAACATTGATGGAATTTTAATTTAACAGTTTTTTTCAACTATATCATTTTTCTTTTTCTATTACTATATACTATAGCATTTTCATTTTATATTTCTTACTCTATATAGCACCATAGATGCAAAAAAACTTGTCTGTCAGTCGAACGTCGCGCGATTTCTTCTGCTCCTTTTTGCGCCGCACTACAAAATATTCTCATTCAAAAAATCGCGTCTAGAATGTTAATTAAAGCTAGATCTATAAAGTAGGACATTGTAATATTCAGTTTTACGGCAAGCGCTAATGGGATCGAGTAAAAATCTAGCTCTGTTGAAATTCCGAAAAAGAAGTTTTTAATCTGTCTTCATTCTGCTTCACACGCACTCCTTAATAGCAGGTCGTGTCGGGCTAAAAGCCTTTATGAAAACTGAATAATTAAGAGCTGCTGCAGATGATGATCAAATCATACGATAAAACTAAGAGCTAGTATCTGTATTTATAGAAAGAGGTTTGGAAGTGCACTGCGTTTAAACTACGGTAAGCTAATCTATTAAAGCTAAATAAGTCTTAAGTCTAAACTAAATAACTCTTAAGTTTGTCTTAATTTAGTTTACTTAGACCACGACCTTGTTTGGTGAAAAGTTAGGATACAGAAAGCGAGATTTTAGTCGAATATCAATAGCTGCATGCTGGAGGAATAAATACAAAGTAAAATTTTATTTTCCCTGATTTCAAAAAACGATCAGCTGGACACAAACTGAACAGCTGAATAAATCCAATATGATAAAGGTATATAGAGGAAAGAAGTGAGCGACAAAATAAAATGGCATAAGATACGAAGTAAAAGGCTGAAAATAGAAAAACGTTATCTCTCTAAAAAATAATAAGATGTTTAATAATTTGAATGAAAAAACAACAGAGAATTTCAATCTCGTCCAACATTGAAGTATGAATATTTCGACTGGTTTTTGTGCGATCATTTCAACTGATTGATAAGCAACGACAAGACAATATTCTCTTGTCAAAGACTTATCGTCTTGTCATTGATCTACAATTACCTAATGTGCTATTCAAAGTTACCGATATCTAAACGTCAGGTCAGTTAGTTGCCCGGTAGGTTTTAAACTCTAATGAGATAAATGTGTTTTGCTATGGAAGAAAGGCGCAAATCAACGACATCCAGGAATGATTTAATTCAATGTGAAGTAAAGAGAAAAGTGACGTTACGAGCGGAAATTATGGCAAAGTAAATGTGATAAGTTCTGAAAGCGGGGATTAAACTCTAAAAGTATTAAACCTAAGCATATATTTGAAAATTACGCTGATATATATAAATGTATGACTTAATCGAATAGCTACCGAAAACAGATTGAATTGGATTACGGTAGCTAAGTGAGTGCGCGCGCGTCGAACAGCTGCAATCATTTGTAGAATTTTCAAGGACTTGATTAAATTTTCTTTTATTGAATTACGAAGAATTTTAAAGTGATCCACGAAGGAATAACTGTAAATAGGATAATTTTGATCTGTCAGGCAAGAGGATAAGTTTGTAGCAGCACTAAATGTCTTAAAAGCGGATGGGATTTGTGTGAGCATTCAAGCGACATTAAAGCTGTCGTCATTGAAAAGCATTCTTTCAGCTCCAGTTTCTTTTGTTTTGCAACCCTAAATGTAGAACTAAGTCTGCTCTATGCTTCACTAATTTAATTTCAAAAAGAATTGGGTTCAAATTATCGTAGTACCACACTTATATTGGTTTATACAAACACAAAAGTACGTGACCAATTATCATTACTCCGACGAAGGACTAGCGTCCGAAACGTCAGAAAGTTTTTTCATCTTTTCACGGTGTATAATTTCCCTTTTCATCATTACTGTTTCATTAGAAACACCGTCGCAGCTCACACTAGTTTTTAGCTAGTTATATCATCTTATCATTAATAATGGTGTCTGTTTCTTGCGACACAGAACAAATTGGATATATATGGTTTGTAATAAACTAAATGTATAATTGGATGGTGGAATAAAGAGGAAAGGAATAAGAAGAAGATGTTTTAAGTTACCAGGAAAACAGTGACGAGGAAAAGATCTTATTACTGAAACTTGGTGAGTACAAATATGGAATACAAAAAACTTGTAATATATTAATGTTAGAAAGTTACTGAAGAAAGAAGGATAGATGTATGTGTGAAAGGGATAGATGGATGGATGGATGGATGGATG